TACCTTGCTCAACCACAATTACTTCAGTGGAAACTGCTAGGTTATTTGTGAACAGAATTTTCTCTCTACATGGCATCCCAATGGAGATTGTGAGTGACTGTGGTCCTCAATTTATTGCTCAGTTCTGGGAAGCTTTTACTGGAATCCTTGGTATCAAATTGTGCTGCTCTACTACTTTCCACCCCCAATCTGACAGACAAACAGAGAGGTTAAACCAAAGTTTGGAGGTCTACCTACGTTGCTACACCAATGCGCAACAAGATGACTGGTGTGATAATCTACCCATGGCAGAGCTCACATATAATAACGCCCCGCACACCTCAACTCAAGTATTGCCATTTTTATGCCAATGTGGATTAAAATTCTTCTTCCAACATGGGTCCTTGTTTGGTTAGCAATGTGGAAGCTGCAACTGATCAAGCCACTGCATTGAAGCAGGTCCATCAGGAGCTCCAAGTTACTCTTGCCGCCGCCGTGACAACTTACAAGAAATGCGCAGATTGCAAGCGCCAGGAAGGTCTAAATTACAGGCCAGGTGATCTAGTCATGGTTGATGCTTGCAATATGAAACTTAAGGTTCCCTGTTGCAAATTAGGTCCCAAGCAAGTTGGTCCCTTCAAGATAGAACGTCAGATTGGTCCCTCCACCTATCAGCTGGATTTACCTCCTGCTTTCAAGATTTTCCACACCTTCCAGTAATGTCTTCTTACTCCCTTCAAAGGAACAGAGACCCCCTCTTCCCAACCCATTCTTGTGGAAGGAGAACCTGAGTATGAGTTAAATTGTATTCTGGCTTCCTGCAAGAATTGCTACCATTTGGAATATTTGGTATCTTGGAAAGGTTATCCTGAATCTGAAAACTCTTGGGTTCCCCACTGCAATTGTTCAAATTCCTCTGATCTGATCTGATCTACAAGTTCTACAAGCGCAATCCCACTGCTATTGGTCACCCTGAACTTACCCTAGCTGCAATGAAACTCCCACCTGCCAATAAGAATTTCTCTTTATCCTATCTCCTAGATGGTGGTATTGTGCCCAGGGCTAAAGCAGAGGGTAATGTCACAGTAGGTTCCATAATGCCGGGAATTATCCACCCAGGCAAGAAGGCTCAAAAAGCTGGGAAACCTTTATCAAAATTGACCAAGTTAACGGATTTAAATCAAACAGTTGATCAAAAATGGGTCTCGGCTGCTCCAGTCTGTCAGCTGAAACCAGCTCCCCCTTGCAAACTGACGTTGATAAATTGATGTAATATGAGGGTCATCCAATATTAGCTCATTAATCAGCATGGTTGTCAGAAACTGGTCATGCAAGGGTTCTTTGCAACCTGGACTAGATACTTACTTGAAGATGCCAAAGGAATAGGAGATCAAGACTCAGGTGGTATTACTTAGTCAATTTTTCTGATATATATTGAATAATTTTCCCTGTTTCAACTCTAAGAGTTGAGTCCTCCTAAATTTACTCAATAAAAATCAATTATCCCAAGTTCTAATTTTAAATTTTAAAAATGCATCCTGTGATCAGGTTGTTGCAGTATATCCCGTACAATCTGATTCTGAACAGAATCATCTCAGGAAGATGGGGCCCAGCATCTGGAACTTTGTTGTTGGTGCCGCCAAATGTCAATTCCATGCCAGCCAATTTTGTAGCTCCTCCCCCATTCTTGAAACTGAAAATTGTGTCACTTCTCAATGCCCAGAATTTTATGCTGAGGATGCATTGATGCTTTCCCAGGTCATTTATCTTGGTTTACTCTGGTTAGGACTGATTGTTCTACTTAATCCTGGAGTTACAATTGGAAATTTCACAAAAAAATATCTGAAGCCGCGTTGGTGGTTAATCATCAATTCTATGTGGATTTGGGTGGTAATTCCCCATCATTTAGAAACAGCTTCATATTATCCAGTGATTTATGTCACAGCACCCACTACAAAATGCCATAGTACTACGTCAAATGGAAGGGATAACTGTCCAAGGAAAGCACCTGGGAACCGTTAAGCAACCTAACCAACGCCCAGCTGGCCATCCAACAATACCTTGCAAAAAAGACTAGGAAGGAGGGGACCCCCAGGAAGGAAGGGGATGATGTAATGAATGACATTTTAATACTTGTATTGAAAACCTGGAAATTGAAACCTGGGTCTCAGGGAAAGCCTTATGTTGACCAGAGTGGACAGGGAACTGCCCAACTGCTAGTTGGGTAAAGCCCTGGACCACCAGAGATAGATGACCCCAAACAAGGGGAATGGAAACCTGCCAACCTGCCAAGCGTCAATACTGGAGGTTTTAAGTCAACATTGGAGACCATGGAATTGAACTCTGACCCCTCCAAAGACTACTTGAGTCACACAAAGTGGACAGGAACTCGCCCACTTGTTAAATTGCAAACCCCAGTTGATAAGTTACTCCAAGACCCGCCAGTCTCCCTAGGAAAATTCCCTGAATGGTCACCAGATTAATGCCAACCTTGCACCACCAAAGATCCAGACCTATGCAGAGGTTGTAGCTTGCCTTAAGGAGGTTAAAACAAAACCTACTGTTAACTCTGCCAATGACCACCAGCAACTGCCAGTCTTCCATCCAGAATGGGTAGTACAATTGAACTACTCAGGTGACATAGTGAACAGTGACGGCAGAACAAAGCATTGCCCCTTCTATTCACCAGAGCAGGCACAACCTGGATCTACCGCCATCAAGACTCTAAGCCAAGATCTGTGCCCTGCCAGTGCCTTGTCTGCAAACCTGAACCCTGCAAAAATTGAAGAAGCAAAAGCCCATGGTATAAAAGCCCTGGCAGTATAATGATGACCATATTGTCATTTTTGATAATAAAGTTTTGTGAACCTTTGGTTTGAACAAATCTTACCTTATCTAGTCTTAGTGATCTTCCATCTTAACTTTGGCCTAGTAGACCATCAGGCAACCACCCCCTCTAGAGACTGACCTGCTGACCCTCCCCAGGCACTATACCGTCCCCCGGGAGCCTCTTTTAGACCTGTGCATTTTACCAAATACCCTCCCAACCCTGCATACGCGGAGTACAACTTGGAGACCATCCTCATTGCTGATCCCTTGACAAGAACTAGAGAAATTGAATACATAGGACGTGAAGGAAAGTGATACAAGAGGCCGCCCAGATTGTTCAAAGACAAGTACAATTATCTGCCTGCTTACTTTGTTCCCATGACTCTGCCCTTAACCCTGCAACCCAACTGCCCAATGGAGACCCCCACTGCAGCCGAGACTATGTCTACCCAACTGTTTGGAGTACTCTACATTACTTTGACAGGAATGGTAGACACTATGGTGCCCAATTTAGGGCCCTGGTCTTTGCTTGGGCAATCTGTTTCCTATATTATCAAGTTAGCACCCATACTCTGGTAGGCATTACCCTCTGGTCTGGCTGTATTCCAACTTGAGCCAACTAATGCCTCTACCTATGCCTGGCTTCCTTACATACCCTGTATTCAGGTATAGTAATTGAACAATTACCAGGGCTAATTCTTGCTAGCTATACTCAATAATCAAAACATACAACACTGGGACTTAAGGCTCTGTGGCTTGTGGGGGACTGCTTAGCCCTTAAAGCTTTGTCTGGGACAGCTGTTTAGATCTTAAATATCTCCAACCCCTCTTGCTCTGTTCAATAGTGATTGGGCTGTGGCTTTTTCCTCTGGGTTTAAATATGGTTGGTCAGGGCTTAATGGCTCTGTTTTCTAACTCCCCCTGGTGTTACTCTGTATGAAAAGGTCCATATTTTTACCCTCTGAACCCAATGACCCATTTTCCTGATTCATGTACCAATTTTCTTAGTACTTAAGGCCTCTATTTTTATGTTTAAGAGCTGCTACAGCAACATTAAACTTATTTCTTACCTTTAATTAATCTTTCTTGATTCTCAAGCCTTAATTTACCCTCAGTTATAAAGAGTTGACTGTTCCTTCTTCTGATTCTGATTGTTCTCCCTATCTGGATATTCTCTTTGCGCTGCCCAGCCTTGGAAACCAACTGGTGTAACTCTTACCATGACAAAGCTCATGCTAAGGAAACCTTGGCTAGTGGGTGAGTCAAATAGGACTCTGGACATTTAGGGATTAAATTCATTTATAGACTTCTTCAGGCCTCTGCTACTTATGAGGATCTTCCTCTTTTTTCCTAGCATGTATTTTCATCTTCCTGTCTACCTGGCGGGACATTGCCTCCTAGGGAGGTTCAGTTCACTGATAGGAAGGTTTTTCTTCTTGGGTCAATTTGGACATTTATCTATGATGACTCTTTTGATCAGATCAGTAGTAGCAGCTCTTGCTATGGCGGCTCTAGTTCAAGAGGTAGGGAGATTTTTTCTACACAGTGGATCCCTGAACCCTAACAATTGATGGTTTGATGTATCATACTAAAATTTTAACACCTTCTTGTTGCTTGATATTATTAAAAGATCCTGTGACACTTGTCTTATTCTGTGTGTGATGCTGGTTTTCTTGGAGCTTACTTTGGTTCATAGATCTTGAATGCTCTGAAAATTGCAGTAAAAAAGTCTCAACTACTCTACTGATGATAATTAGTAAAGTTCATAATTCTAGTTATTACATTTATATATATAATATTTTAGGATATTGGGTGTTAGGCAATCAAAAAATTTATGTATAAACTACAGATGATATTTTCATATAGTTTGATTAATAAAATTTCAGCTGATAATATAACAAAATAAGCTTAAATAATATATAAAGAATGAATTTATTTGGAAATTGTGTTCATCACAGTTAATCAAACACTTATTAAACATAAATAAGATCACATAGTATTTTAAGTGTTAATAATTTTTCTCTTTCTATGACTTGTTTAAAATATATTGTCTTTGGATTTTTATTACGAAAATAAATGTTAGTTTGTATTGAAAAATTGAGATCTATAAGCTTTATTAGCTCCCCAAAAAAATACAATTTAAAGATAGAGTGTCAAATAAATAGGCCCCTTTATATGTTTATCAACAAAAAGCTTTGTTAGCTCAGTCGGGAGATAAATAGACTTTTAATCTCAGGGTCACGGGTTCGAGCCCCGTTCAAAGCTTCGCTGCTACAGCTCAGTTGGGAGAGCGTCAGACTGAACATCTGAAAGTCCCACGTTCAATCCACGGTGGGCGCATCTACTTTTATATATCTTTTTTAGTATAAACCTGTAATAAACTCTTGGGATATCATAAACTTACTTGCATTATGAATTATATATTTTGTTAATCAAATTTCTGTCAATAGATAATTTTTCATAAGTTGGCTCTTTAAACTTAACCCTCATATTTGTCAATCTTATTGATATACAGTGGCCTAAAAAAATACTGGCTAGCAACATTTTAAAGAAAAAAGTAAGTTTCAATAAATGAAATTTGCTATAAAGAGCATAAGCAGATGCACCACAGATTTTTACACAAGTATGGTATATAAAAACACAAAGATAAATAAATAGGAAGGAAATTAAAATAATTCAAAAATATTTAATAATAAGAGCTGCACCTTTAAGTAGATTAAAGCACATAAAATGAATATGAGACAGCACCTCTTATTCAAAATTACCTAGATTATAAAATTGGGGTTAGAGAATCTTTTGCACAGAAAACATGGTTAAAACAAGAGAAACACCTGAGTTTATTTGTGATCAAGTTGTACAAGCTAAGGAAATGGGTTTATCCTATAGAAAGATAGCCAAGTAACTCAAGATTGACAAAGAAACTGCCTGAGAAATTTACCTCAAGTTCCAGGAAACCAGCTCAGTGAAAAATTGCCTGAGATCAGGTTGTCCTAAAAGAACCACTGCTCAGGATGATCAATCTATTGTTAGAATAGTTAAGCAAAATCAATTTATAACTACCAGTCAAATTAAGGAGATTATCAAAAATACCTTGGAAATTGACATCTCTGAGGCCACTGTTTGCAATAGACTCCATGAACTGGAGTACTATGGCTGTGTTGCAAGAAAAAAACCTCTTATAAGTCCAAAGAATAAAGCCAAAATATTGGCCTTTACTCATAAGTATGGTAACTATCTTGTATCCTTTTGGGAAAAGGTGATTTGGTCTGACAAGACTAAAGTTCTTCTCTGTAGATCTCAGAGACACAAAACTGTCTATTGCAAAGCTGATGAAGCTTACAAAATTGAGTGCTTTAAACCCACTGTTTAAAATGGACACCAGGGTGTCATGTTTTGGGGCTGTTTTAAAGCCAACACAAGAGGGGCAATCCAGCCAATAAGTGAGAAGCTAAATGCTGATGTTTACAGAAGAATCATTGATTGGAATCTCCATCCATTTATAAAGGATCTGCAAGAACCAGGCAGTTATATCTTCATGCAAGATAATGCTCCTATCCACAAATCCAACAAAGCCTTAAAATACTTGGATGATAAACAGATTGCTTGTTTGGATTAGCCTCCTCAAAGCTCAGATTTGAATCCCATTGAACATCTTTGGGATGTTGTCAAATCCAATTTTCCAAAAACCTCTAAACAATTCATCATGGATCTTAAATTTGGAGTGGCAAAAGCATGGGAAGAAATTCCTATGGAAACTTTAAAGAACCTAGTCCATTCTATGCCTAGAAGACTTGATGCTGTGATTGAAGCCAAAGGTTGGCCTACACAGTACTAAGTCCATAGTATATTCAGCTTTGAAATCTATTATTATTTTATATTAAATATTCATATTTTTGAAACCTTTTTATTTTTTCTTCCTGTTTATTTATTTATTTTTGTGTTTCTATATACCATACTTGTGTAAAAATCTGTGATGCATCTGCTCATGCTTTCTATAGCAAATTTCATTTATTGAAATTTACTTTTTCTTTCTAAAATGCTTCTGGCCAGGTAATTTTTTGGGCCACTGTACTAATTATTATAGAGATAAGTTATATATTGGTGTATGTATTTTTGTTGGATCAAATAAAAAGCCTTCTGACTTAAAAGTGTTTTAAAAAGGTATTCAGCTATTATCTCAATAAAGACATTTTTTCTGGTAAATATTAAAGAGACATCATTCACATATAAATCATATATATTAACACAATAGGTAATGCAGTGTGGGTTTGCACTTTTATTGTTGCTGTATAATATACTTGAGATATCAATAAAGCACACATAAATATATGATTTTATTATAAACCTAATCATGAGGGTTTACTCTTATAACAATCTTTTAATTTATGATTGAATAAATATTCAATCTTCCCATTTAAGGTTGCTGGATGTGTACCACTCAATATCAAATCTATCACTCCTTTTTTAAAAATCTGTTGGTACATTTTACATCTAGCTATAATCTGTGTCAGGAAATCCTGATATATCAGGGTTGACTGATCCATATTACCATTACTAAAGCTATGGGCTAAAAAATAGACAGGCCACATCCAGGTGCAAGACCTCTATTCCAGAATATGGATAAACTATATCAAGAATGTTATAGTTTACAATCCAGAAGACACCCAAGAAATTCTGGGTCTCAGGTCATGGGACAATTCAGAAGCTTCTATAATTAGATGCTAGGCATTCTGGATCCCAAAATAGACCCAATCCCCCTACAAAATAAAGGCAGGGAATAAAAACATCCTGTTTCACCAAGCAATGAGACAGAAAACCGCCCATGCAAGTTTTGTACATTAGACTGAGCACAAGATGGGACCCGACCCTATGGATGTCAACTTAGTTGACCTCAAATAAGTCAAGGGATATCCAGACTGAAGAGGAGAAATTAGCAGCCTAGGATATTACCTCATTCAAAAACCTTATTCAGGTTTGGAATCCAACTCTGGGGGTGAAACTAGAAGCTTGGGGATGATAGACTAGCCATTAAGAGTTATCTGCAGCTAGCCGCTAGTCTGGATGCTACCTTTACACTATAAAAAGCCCTTCCAAGATCACTTGGAAGGCAGACAATTAATACTCATCAACACTACTACTAAGCCAAATAGTAGTAGTGTCAAGTACAATAAAAGAATATTATTGATACTTTCAGAATCCTGCCAAACCACCTCTGTTGGTGATGCGTCCCAAAGACCACAGGACTCTCCCTTTACTTGGCTCCAGCATGTAACAGAACTCTTCCAGTTGCTGCAATCACACATTAATTGGAAGTACATATGTCCCCATACAGATATCCCAATCTCAACATATATAACAACCCTAATAAAAATAACAACTCTTCTTCTTCAAGAACCAAAAGTCTTGACAATCAGCCTACCATAATTTAAATTTTAGCATGAAATATTTAGTATATTTTGTTCATTATTTCTTGAAGTTTGCTTTCTCAATTATTATAAAAACAGTGTAACTATATGCTTCACTTAAACAATGGAAAAATGATCAATAGCTCTTAAAAGTACAACAATAACAAAATAATTAATAAATCAATCATTAAATTTATCAATTTATGAATAATTAAAATATGTAAATTCTAAATCCTGATTACACAAAAAACCAATTAGCACTAAAAAATACCTTATAAACCAAGGATATGTGTATAATAAATGAATGATCTCAATGTACAATTTATATTTCCATTATTTATTGATCTGATGTCAGAACCCCAAATGTGCCCACCAAAGTACTATCTTATATCAAATTAAAGGCATGTAAAAATGCAATTGCAAAATAACACAATTGCTCAATTAGGCCATTGACCAAAAATATCAGAAGTCAGAGAATTGAGCCCTTAAAATACACCAAGTGAACCCCAAGTTTTGGGCCAATTCTAAGATGTTAAAACAGCAAACTTGACCTGCCAGCAAGGTTCCAAGCAAGCAGGTTTGTGACCTGCAATCTGATTACCCAGCCACTCAAAGCCAGACTAGGAAGTCAACTCAAATTACCAAATCCAACAACATGAACAAATGATGATCCCTTATGGTGGATACCTTGTTTTGGTGCTTGAATTATTACCAGGATAAAGCCACCCTCTTCACCATCCAACTGTGTGATCAATACAATCATGTTACTGTTATCCTTGATTCACAATGACTATAAAATCCCTATCTCCTAATAAAGATTATTATCTAGATTCTAAATATTTTCCCCCTAGTAACTCTGCTAAAACAGCACAGTTACAACATTGGTAGCACAGGTAGGTTCTCTATCTTACCCTATCTTATAAAATCCGCCTGTTGCCTGTACTTGCCGCGGCCAAAAAATCCTTGACATAATTATGTCTGGCCTTTTGCTGGACTGGACCCCATACACCCCTGGTGCTAAGATACCTGATGGATTTTTCCTGTACCAGAACATGGTGATACCACTCCCTGTGTTCAATTCCCTGTCAGCACAAGGGTTCTTTCAGGCTCCCTCCTCTATTCTGCAACCAACCAACAAAAACACCATGCCTGCCTACGTAGCCCAAAGACTGCAAAGCGCTGCCTTGGAACCTTTTGCCGGGGCCAACAACAACAACACTGCCACATGGATCCTGTCTGGCCAGAGCAAACTGACCCAGATGAAATGCTACAGCAAATTTGGATTGTGGAAATCTCCATCCAACTAACCCACAATGCTGGCACCTGGTGTGACAAGTGGCACAAGGAACACACCAACAAGAACTGGGATACCTTCAAGCAAGACTTCTTGGCAAGGTTTGTGCTTAAGGACACTGCACTCATGATCATACGCCAAGTAAAGAACCTAACCCAGACAGGCACTGTGAAGGAGCTCACCTGCGCCTACAAGGAACTCCAACTTTGTGCACCCTCTGACATGGGCTTTGACACCCCAGATACACACCTCATGTACTATGACGCCCTTAAGTTGTATGTAATGAGACACATGAACCTGGACCAAGTAATCAACCTAAAAATCCTGTACCACAAGGCAGAGAATGAGGAACAAACATCCAACGCCCTCCATAAGGCACAAGCTGGAAAACAAGAGAGACTCAAGGATTCCCACGCAGGCGGGCGCTCCACTCAACCACCCCCTGGAAGCAACAGAAATAACACCAACCATAAACCCACAAGCGCAAACAGACATGGGAATGAAAAAATGGACAGTCAAATTGTACTCATTTCCATATCACTGCCACACAAGGCAATCAAGATGAG